TCAATGGCCCATACGCAATCCGTGCCCTTCAAGAGACCAACGAACTTGCCCCGCAATTGGATTCTTAACACGATTTCGACCGAACGACGATAGATGTATAAAAGGATCAGAGTGATTACGATGAGCGGTGCGAGCACGAAGATGCAAGCAGTTCCCAACAATTCCCACAATCTCCAACGCATAATTCCATTTAATATGACCAAGTTTGATCTTTCTGATTGCATCTTTTTTAAAAAAATTATTGATTAGTTCTCAATGCACCAATTTTAGTTTTCTTATTATTTTATTTATATCGAAATTCAGACTAAATCTTAAAGTATTTTATTTCTTAAACTGATATTCATCATTTGATATTGATGATTCTGATATTGATCATTTCTTAAACTTTAATAAAATTTCGCGCAGTAATTGAAATGATCGTCAATTAGATATCAAATCGATAAATTATTTCTTAATTGCTAGATACGTATCTGAGAAAATATTTTTTGAAATATATCATTTGCTGCCGCAAATTTATATTTTCAAGCAATATGAGTATTCCCTGATAATTTAAGAACATTAATTTTAGATTGGAAACTTACCTTATTCGTTTTTCGGGAGACCTGGGACACATATATTGTATCACTATGCAAATACGTTATTCATATAAAAAAGCGACAGATCATTCGCCTATTTTTGCAATCAGATTGCAAACTAAACTTCTTAATTGTCTTATTTTTTAACGACGCAATATTTACCTCTGTCAGGTATTATTGTATTTATTTTTAACACGCATTCGTTTAATACAAACAATTCTTTTATATAGTCATATACCTTATTTTATTCAAGAATTTTATTTTGCTTTAGAAATAATAGTTTCCACATTATATTATTCGACACTGTTATAGATGTACACGTTACATAACACGTAGTTTGACATACAAAAACTTCATTAATTTGACGCATAAATTAATATTCGGTATATTAAAATTATATGTAGCGCGCGCGTATCGCGAAAAACGAATAGTGATACTGAATAGTCTTACAAATATCTCGCTTCCACAGTATTAATTCTACTGACGCAATAACTAGAATTTTATGCCTTTTGTTTTCCCCACTACAAGCCGGTATAGCGATTTATCGCTAGCATATTGCTGGATGCACAGAGAACGCGGTAACGCTTGCCGTACGGCGGATGTTGACATTGTAGCCAATCGATTTTTTGTTATTTTATAAGAATAAAATAAAATCACGGCATTGCCGCGTCTTGCGTGTATCTAACATAACTTTATGTAATCAAGTTAAACAGATAAACGCCTTTTTATGAGATAAACGGTATTGCGCTTCTTGTAACACTGTCCCGGCACGCACACGCAAAAAAAAAGATTAGCCAATGAAGCTAAAATATAGCTATGGCAGCTAAGATGTGTACTTAAAATAGGGACAGTTAATATCGTTGTTGCTGAACCTAAAT